GGAGCTGGTGACATCGAGATTGAGGAGGAGGAAGATGGCATGGGGGGACAACCTTCAGAAGCGAAGAAGCGCCGAACCGAGGTGCGTGACATCCGTGATCGTTTTGAGAAGCTGATTTCAGATGCATTGGATGTTCAATATTGTTTCATTTGTGGTGGAAGACATGGCATTGACGAATGTACTACACCAGATGATGAGAACATGAAGGACACCATATGGCGCATGAGATTGATCATGGATCAGAAGTCCAAATCCCCATCATCATCCGAAAGATCCAAAGCTGCAACCAGAGGCAGAAAAGACAAGCTCCCAAAGAACGTCATGCCACGAGGAAAGCGTTGGGGAAGAACCAGATTCACTGAGAAAGAGGAAGTGACCAAGTGCTTCTACAGTCAGTCAGCCTTTATGTACGACATTGGTGATCGTGAAGAAGGAGGACAATACTTAGTGAATGGTGTCGAAGTCAACCCAATTAGCCGAGGTGTGAAGAATCGTCATGAGCTTGACTTGCTGATTGAGCGTGCGGCTGAGGAATCTCCACCTGTTTTGCCGACCATTGAAGAGCTGAATGCTTGGAACCCCCTTGATCATGATGCTTATGTAAAATGGCTTACTGAAGAAAGAAAACAACATGGAAACAACTGGAATTTCAAGTACATCCAACCATTCACGCACGGCCACAACATCGGTAAACTTCAACTTGCCCGCATCAACGGAGAAGAATATCTTGGAATGGGCTGGTGCAAGGTGCATCGATATGGCGAGAATGAGTGGATGGGCAACAAGTGGGAAAATCCACCATGGATAGTTGAATTGTCAAAAAGATTCAATGCAGCACTACGCCACTCCGTGGGTTGCGTCAGAGACAATCGAAATCACCGTGGACTACCATGCGACGAGGCAGGTTGGGTCAATGTTGAGTCGATCTTGAAGTACGATGCCATTTGGAAAGACCAACATACTTTGGCTGGAACGGCCTACGTCAACTACCCGATACTTGTTGAGAGATGGAACAACTTCCAGAGAGTGATCTTCACTGAGTACAAGCAAACGAAGAGAATCCGAGCACAAGTGCTAGGACTCAAGGTCACGAAAGGTGAGTTGGAACACATCATGAACAACTTCAATGATGGATTGACCTCTAGACTTGATCGACAAACACTGAGGATGGAGATCGGCACAGCAGATCGAGAGATTTGGCTTTGGCCGGTGGCAATCCGTGCCCCTATGGCGCATTCAAGAGTTCAAGGCGGTGTGCACATCGAAGACAAGAAGACTTCCTATCAGATGAACCCTGGGGTAGGATACACTCTTGGAGGAGGATTTCATTGCACCACATTTGACAACATTGCTCAAATCTTCAGGGAAGGACTACGTCCCGGAGGAGGAGGTGACCGCATCAATACGTTCTTCGTGCCATTCGCGCCGTGGGATGTGAGAAGTCAAATGGTGCTGAGATTCAGGAAGATTGATCAAACTGATCTTGTCTACATCTACATCACGTATGATTCCATCGCCAAGTTCTCCCCTCGATTATCAGCAGACGGACACATTTTGGTCCAAGAAACAATTCCATTCGAATCATTCGATGCAGTTTGGTATTACGACTGGAGAGAAAAGGACTACTACCGTCTCATGATCACGAAGGGAAGAGATCAACTTGTTCTTTCTGTGCAAGGCGCGAAGAGGGTGGCCACCATTGAACGATTTGACAAGCTCATTGGAAACATTGTGCCTGAAGAATCATCACCCGATCTAGACGAACTTCGAAAACTTGTCGATATCAGGACCGGTCACTTCAGTCATACTCACAGATTGTTCCCTGGACATCCGGATTGGAATGATGCAATTTCATTATTGGCAGTCACTCATCATCCTAGCAAAGAGGACCATCGACTATGCCCCGCATGTCTGATGGAGACCCCTGCGCCATTATCGATTTGTGTGATGTGCAAAGGATTTTTGGTGAGTCATGGATGGAGGAAACGAATCAAGATCACCGTGGCTACAGTACCAAGTGCCGAATCGCATCATCGAGAAGAAGATCTCAAAGACCATGTCAAGAAAGCATGGGAGGAGGTGAAGATCGATTTGACAGGTGATGATGATGATGACGAGGTGATGCCAGATGATGATGATGTCACCATGAAGAGTCCAGAACAAGAAACTCAACCAGAAGAAGGAGATGATGATCAAGCCTCGAAGAAGGGCGACATCAATGATGAGAAAAGAGACTTCAGAGAAGAAGATGAGGTCGACAAATTTCTCAATCAAGAGGGAAAACCGACCGATGAGAATGATGATGAAGAGAAAGCGGTCGATGAAATCAACATTGAAGAGTACGAGGCTGGAGAAGCTCGTGATGCAGTGATTGAGTACCCCAAGTGGATGCAACGGATTGAGTTTGGATCAAAGGTCCTGCCGATCGAACCTTGCACAATTGGAGATGCTCAGCCAGAATTCATCAAGATCCTCCTGTTGCAGATTGGATTACATATCGTCAGGATCTACAGACTATTCCAACGGAACTTCTGTGGAGACATCGAGACGGCATGGAAACATTTTCAACAGAACCAGAAATTCAGGATGGACCTGGACTCAAGGACACCTTACCTGGGCGAGGATGAAAATGGTGAACTCATTGAACCAACTGCACAACAGATGAAAGAGCTCTACAAAGAGATCGGCCGACCAAATCAAAAGGACGACATCGGAGAAGAGGGATTCGTCAATGCATACTATGGGGCAGTGGTACTCAAAAGACTTCTCATATATACCCTTGAATGTGGCTACACGTATGATGACTTGCAAAACATATTCTTTGATGAGGAGATGGAGAAGCTGTCGAAACGTGACACCACAATGGATGAGATGAGAAAGACCACAGCGGCCCGCGACGCCCTTGACCGACAAGACGTCATGGTCAGAAGAATCATTGCAGGTGCATATAGGGTAAATGCTGTTTATTTCTTCAGGAACGTTGACTTTCAAGACACAATCGCACTGAATCCAGTTGACATTGTGTGTGCTCTTCGTCCACCACTTCGAAGAATATCACTTTTACACCTGATCCTTCAGAATGGCCGACAATTGCCGCGACCTCTACTCCAAAAGCTATATGATGCGATCGATGACTACAATCACATCAAGCAGCGAGAAGATCAGCGACCAAGGTGGGGCATCCACTTGTCTGAAGCTCACATACTTGCGATTGCTGATACCCCGACTCCTGCTGATCGTGAACGTACCAATCCAGCCGCTGGCAAATCGAAAGCAGCCCCGAAAGCTGCACCAGCACTGGGAAGAGTGTCGAAAGCAAAAGCATCATCGTCAGCGACATGGAGAACAGTTGAAACCGCTCCTCCGCCAAAACAAGCTCCAGTGACCCCGCCAAAGAAGGGTGGAAAAGACCAAGGAAAGGTGGAAAATCTTATTCACACCGTGGCGGAGACTGGAATCATCAGGGATACTATGGATGGGGAAATAGATGATTAAGCGATCTGACCTCTGCATAGGTCCCGATTGAACCTGGCGATGCGAGGATGCAATCATTGCTCGAGATTTACCTCTACTTCATTTTGAATGATTTCTGAGAGGACTCTGAGCCGGCTAATTTAGAACCACACATTTTTTTTGAACATCATTGCATGAAACGCTGAGTTTCTACAGCGGTCTACGTCTCAACCGACGAAGGGACGGGAAGGTAAACTTCTAGTTCCATAGTCAACTTTGTATTTTGATTTCTTTAATTCACATGCTTGGGTGAGACTCCATGCTGGCTACGCCACATTGGATGAACCTCAATGCTAGACACCGACTACGTCGTGTCTACATGCACGTGAACAGAACCTTTATCTTTTGGTAGAGATTGTAGCAAGCCGCCATGTAGATGTGAAGTTCTGAACGGACTTTAACTCTCCATAATTAAATAAATGAACAGCTGCAGATCTAGTGGAACAATTTAAAGGACACTCCTTTGCGCGTGGCCGACAAAGTTGGCCATGCGTGGGGGGTGCGAATGGAGTGTAGGCTACGGACTATCATACACTCCTATGTATTTCAACTCCTTATTGTCCACCGCCAAGGGATGCATCAAATTGCACCTTTGGCTCAAGATCACTGCAAGCACCAGAAGGAAAATATCGCCATGCTGAAGCCGCAACTCCTGTGCCGTCGTCACTGAACGCAACTAAACATCAGAACATAATCGGGGAGATAACCTCCGGTTCACAATCTATCTATCTATCTATCTATCTTTCTATCTATCTATCTTTCTTTCTATCTATCTATCTTTCTATCTATCTATCTATCTGTCTGTCTGTCTATCTATCTATCTATCTATCTATCTAATCTATCTGTCTATCTAGCTTTCTAATCTAATCTAATCCAATCTAATCTAATCTAATTTAATCTAATCTAATCTATCTGTCTATCTGCATGTGCGCATGTGAGAATATATTTTATATATATATAGAGCGATTGTGAAAACCCTAGGTTCACGGAAAGGACATTCACAAATTTGGGAAGGTCCCATCGCTTACCACACGTTTGTACAATAATGATATATGGTAAACTTGGGGGGTATCGCTTGCAGGAAACTGCTGTATTTATATATATATGATGAACTATGAATAATATGTGATATTTGGGTATCGCTAATGTGGATATTAGAGAAATATGATGACATAACCTTGAAAAGGGGTATCGCTAATTTGGGAAGGTCCCATCGCTTACCTCGTGTTTTTAACAATTTCCATCACTTTCCATAAGCCAATGTCCGTCGAATACATATTTAGTATTGCCGGGTTTTTACGGTTGCTCTATATATATATATGCATGTCTTTATTTATCTGTATTTGGATCTATATCAATATTTATATTTTTATCTATATCTATTTAATTTACATACGCATAAACCAGGTTCATTCAGTAGGGTGAGGAAGAAAAAATGGAGTCAGGTTTGGGTACTATTTTAATTTGCCCAGTCATGATGGGTCCCAGGAGCCTTTCTGTAGATGAGTTGCGTGGTCTGATCGGTGGTGGCGTACTGGCCTCAGCACAGGGTCGAGGCGATTTGATCTCTGGTATTTTGTGTTGCCATGTGTTGCCTCCAACATATTCCCGCACTTGGCAGGTATTTCAGTTGTCTGGACCGGATGACATAGAACAGTAGCTCGCTCAGCAGGCAGATGTTCCAGGTGACGGGGGAGGTGCCCACCCATATCCAGCCATTGCAGTCTCACTTAGTTCCCCTTGCGACATTTTCTAGAAAATACTGTTTGCTGATTTTCAGATACATCCATTTTAGTCTTGCTTTGGGCCTTTTAGATGCCAGAGTAACGCAAAAAATTCATTTTTGTTGATGTCAGCTGGTGGCCTCCAGCAAGCATGGATCTGTGAAATTGCAGTATAAGCAGTGGTTATCTGGATCCCTCTTTGCGCGAGCGTAGTGGAAACTCTAGATTGTCCAGAATCCATTTGTCTTGCCAATTTGTTTTGTTTTCCAGACTCTGCGATTTATCTCCTTGAGGCTATTATCCTGGATGGATATAAACCAGGTGCCGGCCTCAGCAACGAATGAAACGAAGATGCTGCAATGAAGAGATATGCAGCTTGATCATTTCATGTTAAAGATTTGCTTTCCTCATGGCTCCATTGTGTTTTCCCTTCCTTCCCGTGTGCTTTGTCATCATAATAGTCCGTCATCAATCATTTATGGCCCTCATCCACATATTGTCACATACAGTCAGTTTTTTTGAATTTCATTCAGGTTTCTTGCCTTTGGTGTGTTTTCATGATTGGGAGCAGCAAGACACCAGCACCAGCAGCAGCAACATCAACGTTGATTTTTGTTCAGTGCGACCTCTCCTTCGTGGATGTGTTTGTTTACCTTGATGTACCTTTATTTGCCATTCATGTCCCCCTATATTACTCCTATATTCAAGTCATCAGCATCCACGTCAATGTGGTTTCACGGTCATGATCATCATGATGATCAATTGTCATCAACAACAAGATCAGAATTCAAATGTTTTTTGAGGCCTAGGCATCAAGCTTTGGAGAGAATGTGTCTGAAGTGCGAAGTTCCCTACAAGCAGCTCTTGCTTGCCCAAGGACGGAAATGTGTCTTTCGAAGAGTTCTTGAATGTGGCCCTGGAATATGGGCAGATTAGCAGCCGTGCTGAAAGTGCCTGAGCCGCTCGAGTGTGCGATGAGAAAATGCGGATGACAGCATAGACCATACTGATCCATATTGGACTCTGGTACACTCAGTATAGTTGAAAGATGTTGAAGGATTTTAACGGATTTCCTGCCCGATAGGGCTTGATGGGGTCCATCGACAGGCTGTCACAGTACAATACAGTACACAGGCGATGAAGCAAGCACGAGCTTCTGGGCCGGCCTTGGTTTACGTGGAACCTTGGCAGGACATGGCAGGACGATGTTTTCCGTTCGGTCCTGGTTGGCCAGATTAAACTTTTCGGCTCAGCCATTCATAGATTCGTGGGTTCCTTTGTGCACCTGCTTCTGTGGAGGCAACCCTGCCTCATAGTGAGGTTTAATGTCACCAGGGACTCTAACCACCAACGCAACGCGGTTGGTCGCATCTATATCTATATATATAACTTCTGAAGCCTTTAGATTTGATACGTTTTGCTAAGGTTGGGGTTCGGGCGCGACTGCAGCCTCAATAGGCTGGTCCTGGACGTGTGTGATCGTTTGCTTCTCATGTGGTAGAAAGTGAAAAGAAGTTGAGATAGCGATGTGCACACGCCCAAAACCTACTGTTGTAGCAGCACCGTTCATCCTCAAGCTCAACGATGTCAAATGAGTCGTGGCCAACTCAATCTTGCATGTTATTTCTTTACTGTTTTGGGCTGATCCTCAAAAATTGTAAGCTGCTTGACATTGCTTGACATGATGAAGACAATGACAATGCTCATGAAAAGGTAGCCGTCTTCAGCTTGGTAGGCGCCAGCCGCAGCTTCCAAAAGCCTCGCGGGCCTCAAGGGCCTCAAGGGCCTGAAGGGCCAGGGCCATTGACGAGTCAGCTCTCCCAAGGCCAGTCCCTGCAACGTGATTCACTGCACAGCACGAGCATTTATGCTTCACTGCAGATATCTGGAGATGCTGGGTTTGAGATCTTATGGTTGTGATTAACACTATTAATGTATGGTTGCAATTTTTAAGTAGATTGCAGTAGCATGTCTGAAATACTGTAGATGCGGCACCGTTGGGCTCACACGTTTCCATTTTGAAGGTCCAAGGATGGAAGCGAACGGAGGGCAATCCTTTCCGAAGCAGCCGAACCCTTCGGCACAAGTATCTTGGCACCCGCCTTACAGCCCAACTCAAAGCTGAGTGGAAGCTTCGGCGAGGCTGGTGGAAAATGGGTTTACCATGGTTTACTTAAAATGGGAGGGGTGCCCAAATGGCGACTGAATGGGGAAATTGATGATTGGGGTGTACCTCGTCACTGCATTTTTTCTGGGACTCTGCCAAGGACCCACGGGTTTGGAAGTTGCGCGTCGGCATTTTGAGCGCAGAAGGCATGGCTCCCCAGACCCAGCTTGGGATGGTCAAAGACGACCCCAATATACAGAGGCTAAGGTCCAACCACAAAACGTGAATGAAGGGTCCAAAATACAACACATCAAGCAGCAAGGATTTTACACGGTCTATATACACAGATATTCTTGAGCTTCTGTATTTAATGGCACCCTAGGTGGAAGCCGGAGAAAGAAGAAGAAGAGAAGCGAAGAAGAGGAGAAGAAGACAGAGCCGTAAAACGGAAGCAGCTTGTGTAGCGCTGACTTTAACAGCCTTGTGACCGCATAGGAAATGAGTACAGGTCGATCAGGTTAGTACCGTGTACGTCCTGTAAGTAGTACAGCTAGAGGACTCACTGTAGTGCTGTGTAGGCGGTTTCACTAGCTACCGGCACAGTACTTGGGAAGGAAGGAGTGGGGCGCGAGTGCAAGTAGGAGTAGGAGTAGGAGTAGTAGTCGTAGTAGTAGTCGTCGTCGTAGTATGTAGTAGTATGTAGTGGTATATAGTATATATATAAATATATATATATAGTAGCATACAGTAGCATATAGTCGTATGTAGTTGTAGTTGTAGCTGTAGTACAAAAATAGCAGTAGCAGTAGCAGTAGCGGTAGCGGTAGCAGCTGCAGTAGCAGCAGCAGCAGCAGCAGCAGTAGTAGTAGTAGTGGTAGGAGTAGGAGTCGGACTAGGAGTAGGAGTAGTAGCAGCAGCAGCAGTAGCAGTAGCAGCAGCAGCAGTAGCAGTAGCAGTAGCAATAGCAGCAGCAGCAGCAGCAGTAGGAGTAGGAGTAGGAGTAGAAGTTGTAGTTGTAGTAGTAGTAGTAATAATAATAATAGTCCTCGTCGCAGTATTGGAAGCAGTAGCAGCGGTAACGGTAGAGGTAGCCGTAGCGGTAGCAGTGCCGGTGGTGGTGGTGGTGGTGGTGGTGTGGTGGTGGTGGTGGTGGGGGGTGGCGGCGGCGGCGGTGGCGGCGGTGGCGGTGGTGGCGGTGGTGGCGATGGTGGTAGTCGTGGTAGTCGTGGTAGTAGTAGTAGTAGTCGTAGTCGTAGTCGTAGTCGTAGTAGTCGTAGTCGTAGTAGTCGTAGTCGTAGTCGTAGTAGTAGTAGTACTAGTACTAGTACTAGTACTAGTACTAGTAGTACTAGTAGTACTAGTAGTAGTACCAGTACCAGTACCAGTACCAGTACCAGTAGCAGTAGCAGTACCAGTACCAGTACCAGTAGTAGTAGTAGTACTAGTAGCAGTAGCAGTAGCAGTAGCAGTAGTAGTAGTAGTACTAGTATTTGTTCTTGTGGTAGTACTAGTAGTAGTACTAGTAGTAGTACTAGTAGTAGTAGTAGTAGTACTAGTAGTACTAGTAGTACTAGTAGTACTAGTAGTACTAGTTAAATAGTGTTAATATGTGGTAATAACAATAGTAATAGTATATAACAGGCGTCGTCGTAGCCGTAGGACTAGCATTTGTATTTGTATGTGTATTCTAGTCAAGGGGGAGGGGTGCGGAGACGATTCAGACGAAGCAAAAACACGTACCAGTAGCAAGAGAACAGAGGAACAAGTATTTCAAGCCCAGAACAGAAGCAGGAACGAGACATTCCAATCAGACACACCGGCAGGCCAGAAGATTTCAAGTTTTCACTGGACGAACGAACTTGGATAGATATTTCTCAAAGCTCTCACAGCGGATGATGCTGAGGTGCTCCTTTCATCGACCCCATGCAATTCCATTCGGCCTACGTGATATGCTCCTTATGCGGCGAAGACCCACAGTCTGATGCGGTGGAGCTGTTTCGAACCCACAATGCAGCTCGGTTTCCGACATGTTTTTGCGGGCGATTCTTCCCAGGCCTACGCTTTCTTTGTGCCCCAAGCCATTTCCCGTTCGGCGCCTGACAATTTAGGTTAGCTACACCGGGCAAGCAAGTTGGAATATCGAAGAAGACCTCTTGGATTACCAGCCTCCAGATGGTTTGGAGCTATCAATCGTTTGTCAGGGTTCAGGTGGACGCCTGTGTTCGGATGTGCTTCCAATGTTGATACATGTTCAAATCCGTGTTCCAGTTCATGTTCAAACGTCTTTAAAAGTGGATTTGGCTCAACTACATGCTGGAGTCGCCGTCTTACTGGTCGAAATTGGAAGATACTCACCTTTCAAATCAGTCCAATTTCAGGCTTGGAGAGGATATGCAATGTAGATCAATGTGGCATTACCTTATCACCAGCATCTAGGGTGCCAATGATGAAATGATAAGATAAAAAAAACACAACAGATACGGCAGATCTTGAGCAGAACGGTCTTTGTGTTTTTTGGTGACAAGGCAAAACATGGCCCCACCCTACAATGGAATCTAGCTGCCAGGGAAGCCTGATTGGTTGTTGGGAAGCGCCACTCGCCTCAGACGTCAATCCGAAGTTTCCCAAATTCATGCTGATGTTGGCGGGGTGGTGTGTCATGATTCTTGTTTCCATTGAAAGCCAAATTCTCGACATTGCTGGATGACATAGTTGTTGTGTATGTGCTTACTTGGTGGTTTCAAAGTACTACGCTATTGCCGTAGATTTTGTAATATGTGGTTTGTGCATATGGCGTGGCATGATTAGTTTGCCTTCATATACATACATACATACATACATACATACATACATATATATATATATATTCATTTTTAATTTACACATATGTTTATATATATATATATATGTATACATATGTGTATATATATTTACATATGTGTATATATATATATATATACAAATACATATGTATATATATATATATGTATATACATATACATATGTATATTTATATACACAAATATATCTATTTATATGTGTATATATATATACACAAATATATTTATTTATATGTATATATTTATATACATTTACATGTTATATTTATATGTGGTGTTCTATTTCATGTGTGGGCAAAGGTATCTTGCCACTGCTCAGACTGAACCCATTCCCAGGCTCGGCTTCAGCATCGACAGTTCTTCCCTTTGGGCTGCAACACTCGTCTCACCTTGGTCCGTGGTGGCGAAGGTATCCAAGGCTTGGAGCTTGGAGCCTCAGGGATCCAGTGCAAGAAAACCCAGTTCCACGCGAAAATATCACCAACCGAAATCAATGGAAACGAAAATGCCATCCAACATGATCCAACCATGGTCGAAGAAATATGGTGATTTTGTGTATTCAAAGCTGGGGGTTCACAGTGGGCAAAGATTTGTTTGTGGAACATGGAGGTGAAAGTGTGAGACCCACGTCCTTTATTTTCAAATTTGAATTTGGGATGGTGATATATTTATTTTTGCAGGGCATTTCGGATCCCTCGTTTATTGTGCCATTGCAAGCAAGAGGCTTACAACATTCCAAGGTTCCAGGCATGAATCGAAGGAGCACGCAAACAGACATGAAGTATGACAGTATGGCCAATCAAATGGCTGGACATGCCATAGTTTCTTTTCACAGACATGAAACTGTTTGTTTACTCTGATAGCCTCCCTCGCAGGTACACTGTGGGTCAAGATCTTGGTTATGGAAGACAATGGCACGCCAGTATCTGTTTCTCGCCATAAAGTTCTTCCGTATGGTTCCATTGTTTGGGTATGCATCGGATACACTGCAAGACATGGGGTCACACCTGTAGTATACCGTTCTGACAGGACATCCGCTATCGAACAAGATTCTCATTCAGGCTATACAAAGATGATTACATAATTGTGAGATATTGTGAGTTTGTCTCCAAGAGGGACTCGCCAGTGGCCTTTTCAGCCACTTAGGAAGGTCCTTTGCAAGATCCGTCGTCTGCTCAATGGGTTGGAGGCCAGGGTTTTAATGTTTCCAGTTTCTTTGAAATCGGCGCGCATGGCCTGCCCTTGGTGCAGGCAAAGTGCCAAATGCTCCAAATGCTGGAATTGTCAAGACAAACGGGGACGGCAACAAGTTGAATCCCGGATGCTTGCCAAAACAATTGCCACGATGATATCGGATGGTAACAGAACGTCGGACCATAAGATGTATAGAATTTTATAGAAAAGTTTTGTGTTCAGAACTGACGACTTTCACTACTCTCATCAGTGCCTCGCTTGCTTCGCACACGCTCTGGCCATAGATTTTGGGGCAGCTAAGAAGACAGAAATTGCATGATTTTTTTTCTATCGTCCTATTTGCCCCAAAAAAACATTTGCTAGGAATGGTTTGCTGGACTCCCCTCCGTTGTTTTTTGGACTCTTTGGCTCAGCGTGGATTGTCGCGGGTGCTTGGGTCCTTGCTGGGAATGCCTCCAATGTGATGAGAATGAGGGAGCCCATCGAGTGGGAGGTTGACAGCTCTCTAAGTGAGTCGGACATGGAAACAGCCGATCTTCGATCATTCGATCCAGACCCTTCGGAGGCAAAGAGAATTATTTTCGATTGTATTCCAGTGAAAGCTATCGTCAAGGTAACAAGGAATTGGATTCGCCAGTACACTGATAGGTCGATAAGGGACAGTGTGACAGTGGGATAACGCATTGGTTGCAATTTTGTTCATTTGGATATATAAGTGTGTCCCATGTTGCTTTGTTGGCGTCTCAAAGAGCCACGGCCCAGGACATGTCTGAGTACGGGAAGAGTTTGGGTGTGACTCAGGAGGACCAAGGAAACCCGGACATTCTTTGGGTGGTGCATCAAGCCTTCCACTCGCCCTTGCCTGGGAGTTGGACGGAACATGTCGATGCAGAGGACAGGGTGTACTACCACAACAGTGCGACAGATGTCAGCACTTGGAATCATCCTATGGATGATGTGTACAGAGATCTCATTCAACTCATTAAGAAGCTACGCCCAGGTCCAGAGCCATTGAGTCAGAAGGACCAAGATCAGCGGTGTGCGCAGGCAGTGCAAAACCATTTGCTAGAGGTGCATCGCCGCTTTGTGGCTGACTTGGGTAGTTGGAGCGGGCCTTTCCGATCAGAGGATGGTGAGGAGTACTTTTTCAATGAGAGAACCCAAATTAGCACATGGATCAATCCATTAGAGGACTGCGAGATCGAGATGAGTGTCCGACAAGCGGTGCTGTCTCGTTGCTTGCTTCCAAGTCTTCCGGATGGACAAAAGCAGCTGGACGTACCAGACAGCGTGACGCTTCCAAGTTTGCACTTGCCCATTTTGCCCACTCGTGGAGAACGAGCAGAACCAGAACGAGACCAGGAAGCTTTTGCTTCTGCAAGGTCTTTTTACACTGCTCGAGAGAGCCCACGGTCAGCACGCTCGTGTAGCTCGCCCCACTCAGCTTCTGGCAAATCAAAAGGTAGCGAAAGCCCACCACTACGGAGCAAGGGTTGTCCGGCCCGAGCTCTCATAAGTTTGGGTCCAGAAAGCCATGAGAATCAGATGCAGGATCAGAGTTTGGATGATACGAGAACAACTGCAACAAGCAGGTGCTCTCCGAAAATGGAAAGCGTAAAGCTCCAAGAATCGCATGGTACAGAAACCAAGGTAAGTCATGACAGAAATGCACTTGACCAGTCCGATGATGAAATGGACCTCACTTTCGGCTGCTCCGCGATGCCCAAAGTGCGGCTTGAAGAACAGATTGGAGCAGCTTCGACACATGAGGGAGACAGGGATAGTGACAAGATGTGACAAGCAGCTTGAACATGATGAGCATGTCAGTCATGTCAGTCATGTCAGCCCTGCCTCTCTCGGAGCTCAGCTGAGCTGCGCAGAACAGTTCCCTTCCTTTTTCAGCCAGATGCTGTTTAGGTCTTTCACCTTCCCTCGTTCAGCTGTGCTCCAAAAAGCGCTAGCGCACGCCGCACGCTAGAGGGGAAGCATTGGGACTCAGAATAACGTTATATCACTTTGAATCACGTAAGAGCACTTCAATATGGGTCGTCGATTGGCTTCGCTGGATATTGAGGTTCACCAGGCTATGGAACCATTTGGAGCAACTATTGTAGAGTAGTATGTAAGCTCGTCTAAGTTCTACAAGTGGGGTGAAGGGAGGCCATTTGAAGTGACATGCAGCATTCATTCTGGAAACTGAGGAATCCAAGTCACGTGGGGCAAGCCGCTCGGCCATAGGGAATGTATTATCCCGGGACGGAATGTGATTCTTTTGTTCCAAGTTTCTGGGTTTTGAGTTTTGACTCGGTTTGAGGACATTTCCTCTTCTTATACTTGAGCTGGCTGACCAGAAGAAGTTTCATGAGCTGATTTTGTCAATTACCTTGCTGATAATTGCTGATAATGAAAAGGCAACGGCTCTGAGGCACTGGGTTGAAAATCGCCCGCCAGTGGTCACAGCGATCCGATCCCAGATCGTCCCTCCTCCGATCCAATGCCAATGCAGGCAGAAACTTGGACGCAGATCCATGAGGGCTGAGAATGGCCGAGAGGGATAAGATGTTTAGACGGAAATCAGAGGAGGTATAGATCGAGTAGAAGATACATGAAAATGAAGATACTGTATAGATAGATCTATGTGGAATATATAAACGATGCTGCAGTGAATTACTGCAGTTGACCAAGATGACTTAGCATTCGGATGGATTTGGAAAATGTCAGCTGGGATGGCTGTTTGTTGCAGCTGTATTTAGGTACCTGTTTCTGCAAAGCTCCGAGAAACAGATGAATGAAGTCTAAAGTTTAACCCAACCTTTCTGGAGGTGTTGGCAAACAAGAGCGGGCATGAAAATACCAGGACAGGCAAAAATCACCAGCAGTTTATGTGGCTGACAACTCATTGCACATGTTCAGGGCATCATCGCCCAGGTGCCTCAGCAGGTGTATCCCTATCCTGGACAAAGAGGTGGCAACTGGAACATTTCGTAGACTGGAGGGCCCGTCAATCCAGCAACCAAATTGATCCGAATGGATCCAAATGGAATTATATAATTATATTATATAATGGATCCAAATGGAATTATATAATTATATTATATAATTGTATTTTTATCATACGGATCATACGGGAAGTCAGGAAGATCCAGGAACATGTTCGAAAGCTGACATCAGTCGACAGAGCTTCCCAGGAAGAGCAGCACAAAACAGAATAGTACCGCCCACCCCTAATCCATACAGCCAAAAAGGCACAATGGTCCTTGGAAGAGTGGCAAGGGACAGTTGAGTGAAGTGTCTGGTTTCCGCATTGCAATCCTCCCCTTCAAGACTCTTCATGATCCTACATGCGGCCTGCCAGCTGCAGTCCCTATGGTTGCGGTGCCGATGCAAGCGATGCAAGCGATGCCAGCCAGGCCTTGGCCTCAGAGCGTAGAAGATTGAATCCAAGATATTCCAAGATTGTATATATATCAAGATTAATTATTGAAGATTCTAATTCCATGATTCCACCAAGCCACCACCAAATTCAAGAGTTTTCTTGGGAGCCCTCCTACAACCCAGATAATAGTAAGATTAGTATAATAAGGCTGTTTTTAAACCCGCTCTTTGGAGTTGTTTGAAACGTGCATTGCGCCAGTTTTGCACGCAAGGAAACGGATAGCAGAGATATTCATATCCATTATGTTTCATAAAAATTGATAAATGTTTAATTAAAATTATCTGCGATGGATCAATTGCGCATATTCGTGCTAGTTCATGCGTCCTTTGCTCAAAGCGCTGCCATTCATGAATTTGCTAGGGCACATTTTGCCATGCGGCAGAGACATTGCTCCTTGACGCAGACAGTCGACATAACGTATCTGTATTTGACAAGACACCTTCTTCTACGGCGATTCTACGGCCTAAAATTACTGGCGCAAGTTTCGCACAAGGTACGCACAAGCCCCTTCGTATCGTTGACCCCTAGTCTAGCCCAGATTTGATTACAACCCGCATGCCCAGAGAGCATCAAACCATACGATTTAGGATGCGACGAAGACCATCCAAAATAAAAAGGCGCTTTGTGCTGTGGTCGCACAAGATACGCGTGAGATTTTCTCAAGGATTGTCCAAGGCCTGTTCAGATGTGAAAGAATTTAGGACAAACCCCATGTCCAATATTATGTTATGTCATGTTATTATATGTAACGTTATGTTATTGCTTGTATGCTCATACCAAGACACCTTATGGATACTTCTGGTATATATGATTATATATTCATATATGATCATATATATATATACATATGAATGTAATGTCATATGTATTATGTATATATATATAGTTGTATATACACATGTGCGTGCGTGTGTGTGTGCGTGTGTGCGCGCACTTAGTCTGAACGTGAACACCTAAATACTTTGGGAATTGGTGGGCTTCACCATCGGCACCATGGCGGATATACTGCCTTCAAAATTCTTCAAAGCCTCGCTCTCCAGGTATGGTTGAAGAAGCTCTTGGGAGGCTCCACATGATCCCACATCCATATTTAGCATATTTAACTGGGAAGGTGGCCGAGGGTGCTGCTGATGGTGATGGGAGCAGGATCATACAGGTGGTGATGATGATCATGATGATGACGATGATGACCACGATGATGACGACGGCTGTGACCATGACTGCGTGAGTGACCTTTGTCCGTGATCCGTTTTGGAATGGAATGGGACATCACTGGGAGATGACGGTGCCAACTCTCCTGCATAGAAGATTGGATTCATTTCGGCAGATCTCGAACTCGGACTGCTCAAGGCCAAAAGAAATCAAGTGAAGAAAAAACCTGACACCCCAACTTTTCGGGCGCGGAAAAGCGCAGAAAAAAAGTACTCTTCCTTCTCGACCAGCCTCGAAGTGAGCTGCTACTGCTAGTGATCTAGTCTTATTTTTGTTCCAGTACCACAAAGAATGACCCAAGTGACTGCAACTTGATAGGTTGGCAGATCCAGCTCTGCTGACCTGCAAGGCCATTCCTTGTGGAGGAGGACTCTGTGTTTTCAGCTTTCTGAGGCACAAAGGTGTCAAGCTGTGCGAAGCACAACTGTAAGGATAGTTGAGGAACAGATTCCACTCAGCGCCGAGCCCACAGCACCATTTGTTCTTGTGCTGTAGCACACTTTCTGTAGCAGCACTGGCAAAGGACATCATTGTTGCATTGTTCTATGAATTTGCTCACCTGACATGTATTTCCATTTAGGCAAAGCATGTGGTTTGGAAGAGCTAGTCAAGGTTCAATGCGCATGGGTTCAGGATCTTCAGATTCAGTTTTCTGATCTTGAAGTTCTAACTTTCCAGCCGTCGGAAGCGCACATGTGGCAAAATGCCACATACTTGGGAGCCTCTGTTGGAACTGGGCTGCAACCAAAGCAGTGAGCAGCATCAGCATTGACCTCAGTCAAGAAGGTGCAAAATGTGGAAACGTTTTTTGACCGAACGGGGATGGGTCAAATTGCCCTGGGGACCCACATATGGATTCGGGATTTGCGGAAGTAAAGCTTCCAATTTTGGGGCAGGCATCCAATTTTGATTCATATCCAACGCGATGGTTTGACATTATAAGAATTTTGCAAGCCCTAGAGCATCACATCCTTTTTTTTCCTAGAAATTGGCTGTATACTGTGTGCAGATGTATACAGTAGGAATACCCATTTGGAACATTTTGGAACCACATCCCGTGATATTCCGGCAAAAAACATAAACACAAGACAAAGCTACACTGAAAACACCGCCATCAATCAGATGCTTGCTTGTCAAAAAAAAGTGAGGGCACACTTTGCAACATTTGTTCAAAAACGGCTGCATTGCCGGGAAAAAGGACATTTCCCTAGCCTCCGCATTACATAACTGGAGTTGGTTCAAAGGTCCCATACACTTTCATCCGGCTGGTTGGCTGACAATTTTCCCTGATCTAAATCCAATCAGAGCTTCCGGCAGCCAGGTTTATAACCGGATGCTCCAGCAGGGTGACCTTGCTCGAGGCAGCTTAGGCTACGGCCAACACAGGTCCTTGGCTCAGGTCGTTGGCTCTGATTATGAGGCAGAAGACTGGACTTGGTCCCACGATGTATAAATTGTATGGATTGTATGTAGAGATGCAGAAGTTGCACAGCACACTCAAAAAGATGTGTCAAGCAGGGGTGTGGTGTTTGAAATCCAAGGCTAGCTTTCCAAGGGCCAGAGGGTTGGAACCTGAGACAAGTTCAGCCTGTCCATTGATAATCTTCGATCGCACAATTGGGTGCCGATCCCACGGCCCAGTGGTCAAAATGCAGGTTGAGACTATGTAGAATTGTGATGAGTTGTGAAATGGTTCCTGTTGCGAAGTCAAGTTGCCAGGCTTTGGTCGGACAAACTGTTTTGGGAGTCCCCTAAGACCCCAAGAGGAAAGACATGTAGCCAAAGCAAGATCAAAAGGCTCTTTGGGTGAATTGCCATTGGCCGGCCCAGCATTCTGCTCTCCCTGGAGCTGGTTTTCATTGGAGGAAAACACCAGCTGAAACGCAGCATTTTAGCATCTCTGCTAGGAACTGTTGGCTAAAATTGCCAACATGCAGAGGTGGAGGCAATGCTCCGGATTGACTTCCTTGCCTTTTTGATTGGACTTCGCCATGTGGAAGCCGATCGAACTTTCAATGGAAGCTTGGAGAAAGGTGACATGATGTTCTGTGTCAGGTTAGTTTTCACCACATAGCTATGGTTAAATCAGAAAGCTATGGAAACGAGTTCCGGATTGGCAACCAGATGGGGTTTGGGAAGCGCCTGAAGACAATACACATGTCCGGGGGCAAACCAGACATGAAAGATCTGACCAAGCCGTCCAACCTCACCAGTTCTATGCATTTTGCAAGATCCGCAGAAAACATCAGAAAACCATGAAATAAAACACCTTTTGCCCTCAATCAACCAAACAGATCAGCTTTTCCAGTTCTGTGAAATGAAATGATACCATGGCATACAATGGTGCCTGTTAAAGGTGTGCAAGTTCTTGAAAGTGTTCAGAAAGTCGCACTGTTGCTGGATACTTTGGCGTGAGGCCTTTACACAATTGTGAATGCGGCAACTGGTCGCAAACTGGTGGCTGATACGCAAGGCTTCTATACCGCAACCACTGATTTCATTCCGAAGACACATTTGTGGCGCATCATTCCTGATGAAAATGCCACCCACCTCATTCAGAATGCTGCCTTGGAAGTCAGAAGCCAAGCACAACTGCAGAGGCCGTGCATTTGGCACCATGCAGCTTTTCAAGCAAACGATGAGACTGCTAATTCCATGCCCCCCCAAGAATGATTCCAAATTGACCCCCCCTCCCTAAAGATACTACACCAGCGCTTCCGGGCTGTCTTTATTTTTGGGCGAATGAACGGATTAGTCGTGTTGCAAAACGTCGAGGGGCCAGATTCGTGCATGCATGGTCAATGGTCACTGCTGTTTGGCGGCATTTGTCAGTTTTTTTTGGCATTGAGGTCAGAGTCTATGCACAAGTTGGTCTAGACCGCGAAAAAGGCTTCTTCGTGATTGGCTCCGACACTCCAGTGTATCGAGATCAGAGGCCGTGACAAAGAGCCTGTGAGTTCAAGAGAGAACATAGGGACTGCATACTGTTTGCACGAAGAAGGGGGAGGCAGAGGATAGGATAAGGCACTTAAATGCACCTTACGTATGCTTGCGGTGTTTTGTGTTCCTAGTCCTTTGCCTATAGTAGGCTATTGCTACATACCTTTCCCCTACGTGCAGCTGGATTTGCCATGCTCTACTCCTACATTGTCTTTACCCCATGCATGGCAGATCTTGCAGGTGGCATTTGCAGTGGAATGAACTTGGTGAAGGCTATAGCATTAGAAACCTGAAATCTGGACGTGCTTCGGTTTGACAATGTCTGAAGATTTTTGAAGCTGTTTCTGATAGATACCTAAGGCGTCTATTGAAAAGTTTTTTGGCCATGGTCCCAGTACATGCACATACTATGTTTTCGCTTGATGACGATGGGCTGGTCCAGTCTCGCAACTGCACTGCCTCCGGATTGTAACGGACCTCTTGTATATGGTTTATCATGTCTTGCGATGTTTTATGTTCCATCCTGCAAGAAGTGACGCAGGGGGTGAAACAAGACCTGCTGCAAAACATACAGTTTCACATTTCACCTGCAGAACAGATGTTCAAATGTGGCTTCAGCTTGGGTAAGCTGTCGAATACATGTGCATGTCAAGGGGCCAAAATTTGGGCGACAATGGGCCTGCTGTTTTTTTGCATCAAACTAGGTTAACATTCATTTTGGTTTGTTGATGACGAAAGCTAGCTTTTGCTAGCTTGAAGTCCTTTTAGCATCTTTTAGCAAGGTATTGGCAGGTGCTAAAATCGCCAATCACATGAAGCCTTACACTTAACTACACCCAACCCCCCTCCCCCCATCAGCCCTGGGACATCGTCGCCATATCGTCGCAATCAGCATCATCGGCCGCTCTTTCACAGCAGCTTCCTGCTTCTCCCTTCCCAGCTGGCTTTCGTCCCTTGCTTCTGGGCCTCCAGGAATTGTTTTGCATACTCAGTTGGGATCACTTGATTTCTCAGTGGTTTCTCAGTGGCTGGTGCCCGCGGACTGAGGTGTTGTTTCAGATGGATCCGACGGGCTTATGGCAACACTGGAGGTTCAGCTCGGTTCCTTCTGGTGGCTGATCTCCCAAGAGCGAGACGAGATAGGCCTCAGGGCCCTCATATTCCTGGGCCCGACGCAGATGCGGATTTGTTTGAGTTGTTTGTCCAGGCTACATTGAGAAAAGCACGTGAACAACTAGAGCTTGGACGGCTTGGGTAGAATCAATGACCGCCAATGGTTGTCAGATTCCTTTTTATACAATCTCTCCATTGTATACATGCAGACACAGGCTCTGCATGGTTGTAACGGAAAATTTTGAATTGAGGGTTACGGTGCATCTTAAGTTGGTGCCAGTTCTTCAGCGGAAGAACTTTGGAACACAGTTTGCACATGTTTGCACCAGGTCTTGAACTTGCCAAGCAGCACACCCAATGTTTGGGCCAAGATGCTTCCCAGGAGAACTTCCACGGCTGTCTCACAAGAAAAACATAGAAAGACTGAAATACTCGGAGAGAGCAATTTGGTTCAGCAGCACACTCTGCACAGAGCAGTTTCTCTAATGCCGGTCATAAGTATTCAATTGTGATGCAGGATCTCGTGACTTCAGAGAACGCGGAGGAGGTCTTTGCAAGGCCTACTTCTTATTGATCCCTGACCTTTTCACTTGCGGTATTTAGACACTGGGTCAACTTAGATACTTTAGTACATTTTAGTACTTTAATTTATCAATGGTAAAATGTACCAACCAGCTGAAAATTAGATTTTTTGGCAGGTATCTCAGATTCACCATGGACAGCTGTATGCACAAGTTGTCAAAGGATTCACAGAGGGAAATCCAACATACATCGCCTATACCTGATGATCTAGTTTCATTTAGTTTCCATATGTTTCCATGTTTCTCGGTATGCGTTGTTCAGTGCTTTTTTGTTGTCTCGCTCAGCTTGAGTGGTTTGAGCCAGGCAACGAATGGTTTGTAGGAAGATCCAACAGGAAAGCAGCCCATGAATCGGTGCATCGCAATTGCTGCGTGCACCTTTCAATGGATAGGCCATTTCCATGCGATGTTTTGAAATCCATTGAAATCCTGAATCCATAGCAGGTCCACCCGCTGGCGAGTCGAAGTGTGGGAGCTGGTGCTGCTCGGCTTGAATGTTTTTGCAGGGTGAAGAGACGACCAAATGACCCAGCCAAGCCAAGAATGAGGCAAAGTGTTTTATTTTGAATCTGAGCATGGCATTTGGAGCCATGTTGCCACACAAAATAGAACTGCTAGGACCGGTTGCAGTCTAACTGTCAGGGGGCCCTCCTGCAGCACGACACATTTCCCACTGTTCTATGTATTTCCCACCCATATTACATCAAATGCCCACCTAGAAGCACTGGTTTACTTTTGATCTATATATTTATGTCGGGTTTCCATCTGGAGGGTATTTGGCGTGAGTGGGACGGGATTGAACGGATGTATACATATGATCATATATATATACATATTATATTGTCTAACAATATGTGTAAGTATTTATTCCAGTGCAGGCATTTAGATA